GACTGGACTCTAGTTATATCTCTAGTCTTTTATCAAGTTTATTTGGTAGCAAGCAATTTTTGGTTTGGGGGTATACAACCTCATGAGGTCTAGTATTCCCAAGGCCTTTTATATCGCTCCCAACGCATTTCATGTTGCTCTCAAGAGGTCTAGTATTCCCAAGGCATTTTATATTGACCTCAAGAGGTCTAGTATTCTCGAGGCATTTTATATTGACCTCAAGAGGTCTAGTACTTCCAAGGCATTTTATATTGACCTCAAGAGGTCTATATTCTCAAAGGCATTTTATATTGACCTCAAGAGATCTAGTATTCTCAAGGCATTTTATATTGACATTGACCTCAAGAGGTCTAGTATTCTCAAGGCATTTTATATTGACCTCAAGAGGTCTAGTATTTCCAAGGCATTTTATATTGACTTCAAGAGGTCTAGTATTTCCAAGGCATTTTATACTGACTTCAAGAGGTCTAGTATTTCCAAGGCATTTTATGTGCAGAAGAACTACCAAACTTAGTTTCTTATCCCTTATTAACAATAGAACAATCGAACACTTATCAATATTGAAAAGCATACAAACCCTTGCTTCTCACTGAACTTTATAGAACCACATTTCTATTCTCTATAACCATCAAGTCCTTTACAAATGATGAATGAGGCCTGATGCGGTGGTGCAGTCCTGTAAATTCAGCTGCCAGGAGTATCTCAACAGAACCTGTTTTAGAAAAACGAAGATAGTGAGTGTGCCTATCAAACATGACAATTTCATAAACATTAAATGACAAATTTATAGATTCTATTATAAGAAAGACAGCTTTACAATGCAGTTTTAGGTCATAAAACATTCTACCAATGCATGATTTAGTATACCTCTCAAACATTTGGAAAATATTTTTCTCTGAATTACTTGGCAAAAGGAAATGAACATTTTACATCTATAATTATCTCTAGTAGAATTTGGCATCTTTCAGTAACTAAATGCTTCAACTGCATCTTTTAAAAAGGTGATTAATTTTAAAACCTTAAAAACTTTATCACTTTACCTTTTAGAGGTTGTCTTCAGAGGGCTCATTTACTGAGGACTCTGGAGTTGCTTCTTCGCGCTCCTGGTGTTGCCCCAGGGATCTTTTTTTCATGATTTCCAACCTGTGTTCTTCGTCCATCTGCATTTGCAGTTGTAGTGCAAAGAGTCTATCCTGTTCTTCTTGACGTTTCTGAAAATACAGACGCTTTTGGGTAACGCTTAATTCGAGTTCCTCTTCATCCGAGAGAGAATTCTGGCTCAAAGAGCAGAGATTCTCGACTGCTTTAGATGGCTTTGGTTGTTTTCTTCTGGAAATGGATTTACTGCTCTGTGGGCGAAACGTTTTATCTTCTGTCTCAGTTGTGCCAGCTCCAATTGTCTCTGTCGTATATGACACAGGGCTCCCCCTCTCTGCTTTGCTTGAACTGCTAGCTGAGGCTTCCGGCTTAATTTCAGTTAACGGGATAAATAAGCCTTCATGAGAACAACTTGGTTCTCCTATATGACCCTCTTTGATAGTGCAGTCATAAAACCATGACATATAGGGCCCAGCTGAGGGCACTGCATCGTCATATTGCATGTCAGAGGCTACTGGCAGGTTTTCAATTAGGTCTTCTCCCAGAGAGCTGTCTTCACAGGAGGAGGTCTCCTCAGCTGTTTCCTCGTCTTCTTCGTCTTCTTCGTCTTCTTCTTCGTCTTCAGGCTGGAAAGCCACCTGGACTTGTGGCCAAGGAAGGAAACATTTTGGCACGGTGTCCTCACAGTGCTTTTGCTTGCACTTTTTTTTTCTTGGGGACCCGGTGGTGACTGGGCTGTTGATGTCTTGCTTTTCAGTGTCTGCCTCCCTTTTCTGTTGTCCCTCCAGCCTGCATATTTCTTCCTTTTTTTCCTCCTCCGCCTTTTTTTCCTCCTCCGCCTTTTTTTCCTCCTCCGCCTTTTTTTCCTCCTCCGCCTTTTTTTCCTCCTCCGCCTTTTTTTCCACCTCTGCCTCTTCCGCCAGCAATTTCCTTATGAATTTTTCACTAGCTCCCTTTTCCTTTGTTTCGGCGGCCATGCGCTCGGCCTCCATTTTGCTCACCTCCTCTTCGTATTCTTTCCTCAGTTCCCCAGGATTACTTAACACTGGCAATGGTTGGGTATCGGGAAAGACTATGTCGGAGTTGTCCCTGCTGGCTGAACTCTGGCGGCAGAAGGGACAGCATAAATTTGTCTTTGGGAGAAGAGAAGTAAAACACGATTTACACACGGTGTGGTTGCAGAGCAGAGTCACCGGCTTGATCAGGAACTCCTTAAGAGGCAGTGGCACTACTGGAGAGACGGCTTGGTCTGTTTGGACGAGGCCGTTTTAACGAATTAATGAGGCCTACCTAACGCCACTACCATGGCACGACGCTCACTTCCTAGTGACGCACACGCACTTCCGCTACGTGGTCCCCTTTTCTGATTACGGTGGCCGCAGGGCATCATTATTGCTGCCTTAGAACGTTCTAGACCCCTCTCGACATTTCTAGAAGCCCCAAATGAAAACGGTTAACCTAGTACTCCTTAACTGTCTAGATGTGTCTGAGGAGGGTTGGAAATTCATTTGTATTGATTATGAACAGGGTCTTGCTATATTACCCTATTTAACCTTGGGCTTGTGATCCTTTTATTTCAATCCCCAGAATTCTAGAATTAGGCAAGGTGTGGTGGTTCAGGGGCAGAAGGCAGAGGGGGGAGGATCTCAGAGTTCGAAGCCAGCCTAGTCTGCAAAACCAGTTCTAAGCCTGCTGGGGCTACAAAGCAAGACCCTGTCTCCTAAACAAACAAACCCCACCAAATTCTGGGATTACAGGTCTACTGGTGCCATGCCGGGACTGCAAATTCTTAGTTTTTGTTTAAATATTTCTTCAATGTGCAGTCTCTGAGTATATTACTGATTTTTAAAAAAAGTTTGATGTCTCGCCAGGCGTGGTGGTGCACGCCTTTAATCCCAGCACTGGGGAGACAAGAGGCAGGCGGATCCCTGTGAGTTCAAGGCCAGTTTGGTCTACATAGTAAGTTCCAGGACAACTGGGGCTACAGGGAGACCCTGTCTCAAAAAAACCAAAAAAAAAAAAAAAAACCAAAAAAAAACTTTGGTGTCTCGTGATACCTGGCAAGAGATGGAATCATTTTAAGCTTCTGTTGTTCCCAAATGAAACCTTCACTAGTGCTAGCAAGATACTCATACATATATATGAGCTTTTAAATATAAACTTTTATATATAAAAGG